CATTGATCAAAGAGGGTGGGAATTGAAATAATCAGATTGATTCTGTGTCATTCTTAATTGCCCCTATTTGCAACTGATCAATTTTGTCTTGTAACTGCCTGAGTCATGGTTCTTTGTCTCTGAACTTGATTCAGAAATTCAGCTATCCTGTAATAAGTTAAGTTTAGAAATCCAGTACTGTTGTTAATCACTATTCTATTGTGTCAAGGATTTCTGGTTGTTATTCAAAGAAGTCTGATTTCTATCTCTCTGTTTGAAGATATAGCTGGACTCAAACAACGAACATCTCTTAGTCACAGGAGGGAAGGAGGGGGTTGTTTGTTGCTAGCCCTCTTTCCCAATTTCTATCCAATCATATTTTCTTCCACCTACTATGTGACCTTCCTACTTTCTGTACTCCCCAAAACTATAAAAGAGAGCCATCCTTTTCATTTAGGGTCTTAGCTTTGCTGGGGAAGCTGAGATCTTATTTATTGGTAAATTCATGCTTCACTAATAAATTTGATGTGCTTGGTCCTTTGTGCCTCAGTTTTTCTTAATTTCAATTGCAACATATGTAGGATACATGTGTGTGCACATATATACAATATATAAAATTGTAAGGAAGTGGTACAAATGTATAACATATAAAAGACAAAATAGGACAATTAAGAAATCATTGGTAACTTTGGGGAGAGTAGTTTCAGTTGAATGATAAGGTTGTTAAATTTCAAAAGGTTTAGAATTGAATGAGAGGAGAGGAAGTGGAGAAAAAATTGGAGTCAAATTTCTCAAGGAGTTTAGCTGAAAAAGGGAGGAAAGATATTGTAATATAACTGGCAGGCATGGTCATAGTAGAAATGGGTATACTTATAGGCAGCAGGGAAGGAGTTAGTAGAAAGGGAAAGATTTAATATTATAGAGAGTTTGCATGATAGAAGGGGAAAATCTGCTGGAGGAGAAAGAAGAGGATGGGATGGGATGGGATGGGATGGGATGGGATGGGATGGGATGGGATGGGATGGAATCAGAGGGATTTCCCTTGGTCAGATCAACTGCCACCTCTTCTTCTGATACAGAGTGAAGGAGGTGGAGAATGGGTGGATGAATTCATTATAGAAGTAGAAAAGGACTGGCTTGCTAAGTGAGTACGCATGAGTGTGTAACATAAATTTGTAGTAGACTCAATCAGCATGATTTTCTCAAGTTAAGTCAGTAAGTATCTATTAAACATTTACTATGTGCCAAGCACTGTGCTAAGTGTTACAGATACAAATATAGGCAAAAAAGATAGAATCTGCTCTCAAGTCACTTATATTTTGATGGGTAAGACAACATATAAGAAGGAGTAGAAATGATGGGGGAAGAATAGGGGATGGAGAGCATGATGACAAAGTCTCAAAAGTTGGAAGTGGAGCTAGGAGAGGCATGCAGGATGTCCAGTCTGAACCATTTCTCAAAATGAAGGTTCCAAGAAGAATTCTCCAATGGGAGGAAGACACAGGGGCAGATGGATGTTTCAGTGTGAGAAGGCCACAGGGAACAAGGAAACTGTTAGGGTGAGGAGGCAGCTAAGGCATGGTGATGAAGTCTTGAGAGTCTTTCTAAGAGCCAAGAGGAGAATTATTTTCCCTAGATACATTAATTAGAACATGAATAAGAAAGAAGCATATGGGGGCAGCTAGATGACACAGTGGATAGATCACTGGCCCTGGATTCAGGAAGACCTGAGGTCAAATCTGGCCTCAGACACTTGACATTTACTAGCTGTGTGACCCTGGGTAAGTCACTTCACCCCATTGCCTCACAAACAAAAAAAAAAGAAGAAGAAGAAGAAGTATATGGTGGGAGTGATACAGGGAAGTGATCTCAAATAAAACCAAAAGCACAACAACTTTGAGGGGTAAGTGCTATTATTATCATTCTCATTTAGAAATGAGGATATAACTGAGGGAGATATAAGCTAATTGACTTGCCCAGCAACACATAGCTACTAAGTATCCGAAGCCAGCCTTGAATACCTGACTCCAGCTCCAGTGCTCTCTTTAGCTATTATCCCACCAAGGCCTTGAATGCTAGGCTGACTTGGGAAAGTCATTTAAAGTTTGATCAAGAGTATCCTGATCAACACTATGCTTGTAAACTCATTTAATCTTAACTAAGATTTATTAGATTTGTGGGATAAAAAAGATGTTAAAGATATACCAAGAATCTAAACCTGAGAGAATAGAAATAAGAAAGCTAGGAGGAAAAGCAAGGAGAAATAAGAATGGATTTAGACATAAGAATGAGATGCCAATGGGGCATTCAGATGAAGGTAATTCTATATAAGAATGATCTGCTAAAGAGAGGAAAGAGATTAAAGCATTTTATATCAAGATTGGTTTATTTTCACAGTTACCACTCCTACCTTGAGGGTGGGGTTGGGGGGTTGGGCAGGGCAGCCAGAGGAAGGTAGAGTTTAGATCAAAATCATTTTATGTCCTTCAACAGCCTCTAAGTTTAATGATTCTTCTGAATTAGATAACTTTTAGAAGCTAGACTTTAGACACACAGTATCTTACGCTTCCAACTAACATGGTAAGGGACAAATGCTGATGATGGTAATGGACAGATATGTCAGGACCAGAAGATGGATCATAAAAATAAAGCTTACCTTCCCATAGTTTCTGATGCATAGTTCCATAAACTTTATAGGAACATTTGCAAAAGTGGTAGTGTTGATAGCATAATGAAATTTGGGTAGTGAGAGACAGAGCTAATGATGACCACATCAGGTCTGCAAATAAGTCTAAAGTTATGAGTACATGAATCGGGAAAATTATGATGGGAAGAAGCTAGAAAATACTGCTTCAGCTCCTAGGCCTTGGGTAAAATCACTCATTCACTAAAGTCTCACTTCTTACGGTGTGACTTTATGTAATTGTCCTCCTCTTTTCCTTTAGCCTGCCCAACCTGACCCACCATGCTCCCACTCAATGTTAAACTGTCCTTAGCACAGTGCCTGGTGCATAGTAGGCATTTAATAAATGTTTATTGACTAGTCACATGTATTGCCCAGTCACATTTCTAAAGTGCTGAAATGGAAAAAGCATCTACACACAAATAGCCTCAGAGTAGTGGAAATATCCATTCCACAGAACCTAGGAAAATGAACTGCAAACAACTCTAGATAAATTTGTTTAAGCAGTAAGAGAGAACAAATGGATTCATTTCCAATTGGCTCTACAAGCAAATTGGTATTTCCTCCAGTCTTCACAAACTTTTGTCAACCAGTTAGTGAATGAACCCTTAGTCATTTCGTTAAAATACTGATTTGAATCTCATTGAAGAAGCCTAGATTCTGGAAACTCTCTGGCTAGAATGAATGAGATAGAACCAAAGGAGCTTGTGATATACATATCACGTTACATACTCCTGCACAAATGGATGTGGTCCTTTTGTCATAACAGACTAACGCCAAATAATTTCTTAGACACATTCATGAAACACACCTAAAATACAATCAAGCATCCCTGTTTTTGAATATTGTCAATCACTTCTTCAATAAAACATAATTTTCAAGAAAATTCAAGCCCTTGACCAAAAAAAAATTATCCAAAACACCCCTTACAGTGAAAACTTAGCTAAATGAGATTTAACTTTAAATGTTATTTTATGTTACTTATAGACAGGCAGTAGAACCAAGAGAGATCTGGCTTCAAGTCCTGGTACATACTCAGTATCTACTCAGTTATGTGACCCCGTGGTCACATAGCAAGTCATTAAACCTAGCATTAAATCCAGACATCTCTCTAAGACTAACTGTTACAAATGAGTTGGTGATCCACTGAAGATTCCACACTGGGAGATCTCCATAGCTAATGAAATCACAGACTGGATCAAGATAAAATATTGACCTAAGCCTTCAAGGCATATATTAATTTTTTTTAAATATAGAAACTGATCTATTTTGAAAACATTATTCTATGTAACAAAATCAACATTTTAATTTGTCATATCAGCAGGAAAGCATTATTTCACATAAGTGGAATGTGGCCTGTCCTGGGGCCATTAGTTTCCTTCATTTTCTTCATCCTCAAAATATAATCATTTTGTATGGGTTTATACAGAATTTTGTCTTAAGGAAAATACTTTACAAACCTTATAAACACTAAATTAATGTGTTATTGCATCATAATGATCATCATCATCACCAATGGACATGCAATGGATGCTTTTGACAACTGTACAACAATTGTCCTAAAAATAAAACAAAACTGTAAAATCAAGATCTCCTAGGCATGGTATTGTTTGCCTCAATTCTTAAATATAAACCCTCCCCACTAGTTATTTTTTCAGAGATTACTAAAATTATGTTCTCAAGTTTATTAGCACAGTGCTAAGGAGATCGAGATTGCAGCTACACCCTCAATCCACCAGTTTGAAAATTAGTAGATATAATGGAGAGAGTGACAGAAAATTTAGGCTATTTGGAGCAAACCATTCATGAGTATTGGTAAGTTACTCAAAGCCCAATCAATATCTTAATTCTTCAGAGTACTTACAGAAGCTTCTCTGAATGATTCCTTGGTGGTATGAGGAAGTTGAGAGTCTGTGTGGTACAATGGTTAAAGAGTCAATCTTGGAGTCAGGTTGGGTTTAAGCCTTGCCTCTAACACAAACTAGCTGTGTGGCAGAAGTCAAGTGACCTCTAGTGTTCCAGGCAGTGCTTTAGGTCTATAAGCCAGAGACAAGTTTCATCCACACTGGAGTTCCCTACGCTAATGATAACATAGACAGAGGCTCTCTTTTCCCCCTACCCTACACAATAAAAAAATTAAGAAAAAATTAACTTAGGTTCTAGGATAAATTCTGTCTTAGTACTAAAACCCAAATGTTTTTACAATATTATGCAATCTGACTTGGAACTTCAGCTAACAAACTGTTAAAAATGCACATCATCAAAGCATAAGGACATATACAAAAGTGAGATGAGACTAAAAGAAAGCTTCAGATGGTGGGTACCAGGCAAGAAATTCTTAGACTTCTTCCAGTTTTTCTTTGAAACTTTTACTAAGTTGTTCAAATGTAAACACCACATCGTTGGCCTCATCTTCACATCATTCCCTTAAAGAAACACTGTAGGAAAGAAAGGGAAAAAGTCATGCATTTATATACATCTTGAAAAATTATATTCTTAGCTGTCTGGTTAGACAAGGTTTTAAGTTATAAGAAACACTCTTCCCTGTCTTTATATTTTCTCCAGAAGCCTTGACTTTGTATCCAATTTACAGATGAAATTTTATGGAAAATATGAGCAATCCTAAGAAGATAGTTATTTCCACAGTGACCCTGCCAAAGGACCACAGAATTTTAGAGGATATTGGGAGAACTACCTTTTTGGAATAGGAGAATTCCATTGAAAAATTCAATTTCCTCTCCATGATTAATATTCTCTAAGTTTCACAAACTCTAGGTAGTTAGATTATGTCTCTCCTACCTCCTGCCACAATAAGAATAGTAAACTTCTTTCCTCTAAGAGGATATTTTCAGACTTTCCTGATATTTTGTTATACCTTAAGTGACTAGTATAGTACTTTGCAGACAGTAAGCATTTAATAAATGCTTTAAATAGCTCAAATTAGGGAATATTGGATAGTGTCTGATGACCAGAACCAACCTCCAGAAAGCTGCATTAGTCAGAAGAAGCAGAAGCATTGCCACTTTGTTAAAACTTGGGCCTGCAATTATAGGGAAACAACATTGGCAATAGGGACAATATGGAAATTAAAAACATTCCTGCCATGAACAGCATCTATGAATTAACACTCTGAATGATTGTCTTTGGAAATATGGGAAGGATGTTATAAGGGCCTTCTCAAAGACATCAAGCAGGAAGCTCCAAGTAAAAATAGCATCTAGATTCAAGGATTTTAAGAGAAATCTACAAGAAATTGTGGCTCTATCCTCCATGGTTGCTAGAAAGCCTGGATACCTTCCCTGCCTGAAAGAGATTTCCCTAGAGGAGAACTACACTGCTGGGCTCAATGCATATGGTAGGACAAATTCATATAGACAACATCAAATAAATGAAATATAAATCAGAATTGCAAAGACTTCTAATTTCACTAAGGTGTTAATAGATACAGGATTTCTGATTAATAATCCCAAAATCTTTTGACTAGACTCCACTCAGATTGTCTTTAATGCCTCAGTCTATGTCAAGGTTGAAAAAAACCCAGTCCTAACAATACCCCATTAGAAAAGGCATTGGAAGGAGAGTCAGATCTGGGCTCAAGTCCTACCATTCATTTGTTGTGTAAGGTAAGCAAATCAAATGGCTCTCAATTTCTTCATCTATAAAATGTGTGTTCATAAGATCCTAGTCTTAGGATCATGCATGATAGATCTGGAAAAGGCATTAGAGGTTGCTTAGTCTAACCAGCTAATTTTGTAAATGTCCAAATTGAGGTAAGAAAAGTTAGATACCTGCTTGCGTCTACCTCTTGAGTACTCTAGCTCTTGCCTTAGGACTCTGGGTTGCTCATTGGTGAGCCTTTCACCCTAACTAGATCAACTCAGACTCACCATGTTGTTCCCCAACAATGGGGCATCACTGGCCATCTTTGAAAAAGAAGGACCAACAATAACAACAAGGGAGCATGTGTGTGTGTGTGTGTGTGTGTGTGTGTAAATATAAAGCAATTTCAAAAGGAATGCTACTTTCCCATATGCATACTCTGCCCCAAGAGTCTGCTGCTTTGGTAGTGAATAAAGAGCCAACCTTGAGGCCATGGAAACTTGAGATCAATCCCTAAATGACACATATTGGCTATATGACCCTGAACAAGTTACTTAGCCTCTCAGTACTCTAGGCAACTTGAGAAAGTTGCATTAAAGGTGCTGGCCTGTATTGATAAAGGGAGTTCACTTATCTATAAGCTCCCCCAACCAAAAAACAAACAAACAAAAATACAAGTCTAGAATTTCTCCTTACGCTACATTCCAGACAAACTAGACGCCTTATTATTCCTATTCCTAATGTGCTTCTTCCCTCTGTACTATTGCTGAAATTGTTCCCCGTGTCTGAAAAGATTTCAGTGCTCACCTTGAATATTCACACATCCCTTGTGTGTAGAAATGCTACTGATCCTTTAAAGTCCAATTCAAATGTTACCATCTCCAAGAAACTTTCCCTAATCCTCCAGTCAGTTGACATCAGTTGGAATGAAAGAACATAAGTTACAATCCTGGCTCTGCCACTTTAATATCTGTAGGACTTTGGGCATATCATTGTGTATCTCTGGATGCCCAGTTGTTTTGTTTTATTCTGTTTTCCATCCATGGAATGACAGAACTGAACTTGATCTTTTCTATCTTTGATCTCCATGATCATCATATCCACCCTTATCTTCAATCAATCTCATTTTCTAATCTTCAAACTCTATTAACTTATTCTCCTACAAACCTATCCAAGTCTCATCAGGCTTAAAAATTGCATTAGATCGTACCCTCTCTCCAATTATCATCCTAAATCTCTCCTCCTTTTTTTTGAAAAACTTATCTACTGTCTTTGCCTCCACTTCTATTCTCACTCACTTCTCAGCCCTTTGTAGTCATTTCTAATCTAATCGTTCAACTAAATTGTTCTCTCCAAAGTTTGTCAATGATCTCTTAATTATACAACCTTTTCTCAATCCTTATCTGTCTTAACCTCTCTGCAGCATTTGACACTGTTGGTCACCCTCTCACCTCTTCTAAGTTTTCATGATACCATTGAGCAGAGAGATGACATAGTGAGAGCTATGCTTTAGAAAAATCACTTTGATTCTTATTAATAATTGGGTAGCTCATAAGAAAGATTGGGGTAGACCTGATATGATATGACTTTAAAAAGTGAAACCATTTAGGAACAACTAAAAAGAGTAATTATTTTATACAAATGAGGTGCAAGAGGAAGAATTGATACAGGGGAATTAAATGGGGGAGGAGGGATGGTAGTTCTGGTAACCTTTCATGGGGAATGGGTTTAAGAGGGAACAATACACATATACTTAGAACAGTATAAAAGTCTTCTAAATTTAGAAGAAACAAAACTTTGAGGTGCTAGGTAGCGGGGATAGGACAAGGGAGGGATCTCTAGAGAGGAGGGGGAGGGAATATGTTATAGGGGACTATAAAAGGGTGTTTAGATTTATGGGAACAGGAGGATAGGGGAGGGATTTTTGAAGGAAGGTAGGCTAAGTAATAGGAGGGGCAAAGTAGCAGGTAGAAGTAAAGTACAGGAGTCAGGAGGGATAGGAAACGAGATATGTCCAAACATAAAAAAAAAGATATGGAGTAGAATTTGTTTGGGAAAGTATATGTCTATGTAAGTATATATGTGTCTTTATGTATATGTATGTGTATATGTATATGTATTTCTCTATATACCTATAGAGAAATATATCCAGACTTAATTGTCGCCTTTGGGGGGGGAGGGAAAAAAGAACAAAGTGAGAAAGTACACAGCAGAGAACAAAAGAAAACTTGCCAAGAAGCAAAGATGGATAGCTCTCGACACAATGTGTAGTATTCATCATACAGACTTTCTTGAAATGAAAACTTAGCGTTACATATTTTGAATCCTCTCCTATCTTCTGCTATGCACATGATGTGCTTTTTTTTCTTTCCTTACTTTGTAATCAAATGCCAGTGTTTAAGTTTATGATATTTTTTTTATTTTTCTTTTCTCTATTCTGTGTTTGTGTTCTGGTGTTTGAGTCTAAAATAAAATTCAATTTAAAAAAAGAAAAATCACTTGGACAGTCGAGTGTAGGACTGGAGTGGGGAAAGACTTGAGACAGGGAGATAAAGTTAGAGGCATATTGTAGTAGTCCAGATAAGAGTTAATGATTTTATATAAGTGGAGAGGATGGGACATACATAAGAGGTACTGTGAAAGTAGAAAAAATGATTGGGAATGGACTAGATAGCTAGTGTGAGTGAGAGTGAGGAGTTGAGAAGAACACCAATGTTTTGAGTCCAGATGACTGGGAGGATGGTGATGCCCTCAATAATATCAGAAGATCAGAAAAGAGTGGGGAGTATTTGAAGGGGGAAAAACTCTTTTGGACATGTTTAGGAATGCTTATGGGATATAAAGTTTAGGTGTCCAAGAGGCAATTGAAGATGAATATAATCATGTGAGAGATAAAGGCTGGATATATAAATCTGGGAATCTTCTGCATAAAGATGAAAATGGAAGCTTGATATCACCAAGTGAGATAGTGTAGTTGTCTGTCCTCAAATATCAACATCTGCTCAACCTGGATGGTTTCCCTTCCACAAAACTGGAAGACGGCTAACCTCCATAGCTCCAATGGACTGTAATGAAACTAATTCCTTTAGTAGAGATTCTCCATTCACACCCACATGAAAGAATTGAGCAAAGAGGACAGAAGACAAGAATTTGGATAACACAAAATTAGCTCTGCTACCTTCACTAGAACAGAAAAATGAGAATGTAGATTGTATTAACTATTGCTTATCATTAGCCATTTTAAGAAATTCAACAATTATTTCAAATCTTTGGTTTTCATTTTAAATGTCAATGTCAGAAGCAGTAGCATGCAGGAGTAGTGCCCTGGTCAAAACTGAACAAAAAGGTAAACTGAGGCAAGTTTCTCTAAGCACAATAACAGGCACATTCTGCCTGTCAATAAATAGGCCAATGACTGGCCTCAATTTATACCAAAGACCCCAAGCTCCACTTTTATAGGTTTTGGGAAGTGCAGAACAAAGAATAAGACAGGGTAAATGACATGATGGGATTGAGGACAGCATGATTGGTTATAGATTTGAGGCACAGGGAACAACATGGTTGGTTGGAAGTTTGGTACTAGAAGCTAGTAATGACCCTCTCCTCTCCTGAGAATACAAGTACAACATAGTAGACCAGACTTTTGGACAGCAAACCAGGCATCCTTAAAAGGGTAGTACAGTGGTGTAAAGATACTAGATCCAATTCCCTTGTGTTCACATACATCCAAGGACAGCTAAATTCCTTGAGGCAAGAATAGATTAGCAGGAGAGCTGTATTTTTAAACTTCACCCATGACAGTCCATCTGAATTCTGAATCAAGTTCAGAAACAGAGAACCATGACTTAAGCTGTTAAAAGACAAAAACAATTAATTGTAATGTACAGGATCAATTCAATCTTTTCAGTAGCATGCTGCACTCAGAGTCAGGAAAAATGGGTTCAAATCTTGCCTCTGACATTTACTAACTATATGGCCCAGGGCAAGTTCTTTATTTCTCTGGACCTCTCAAAGATTTAGTCACTAAATCATAGATTAGTGTGAGGAATTCCAAATCCTGAAGAAATTATATATTCTTACATAAATTCTATGCTTAACTCAATAGACCTAGCCTTATTTCA